CAAAGTTAAAAAAAGAAAATAAATTGAGCTGCACACAACATTTAAAAAGGATAGATAAATACAATTGATGCATATACAATTACTGAATTGTTATTTATCTTTAACATAATAAGTTGTTAAGCAGCATCAAGGTTAAATATCTTGAACAGTTATTAAAATCTAAGAGTAAAACATTCTTAATGCAGTGAAACAATTGAACTGAACGTATAATTCTAGAATCTAATAATAAATTGTATTTGCAAAGCACCTTTCATTGCTAAAAGGAATCCCAAAGTGCTAATGCATCCAGTATTTAAACATGTAACTGAATGTAATAGATCAGCCCTATTGTCACAGATTCAGCTATTTGATCCTAATATCCAAAATCGCCATGTACTCCAATAATAACTTTTGAATTGAGAAATTGAAAATGAAATACAAGCTGCACCTGACTCTCATCTGTACTCTGAAATGTCAGCTGTGCCACCTACTCCCACTGCAGCCTCGGAGCTCTGCAGTGAGATAACAGAGCTGAGTTTGTGCTGTGGTTATCTGTGAGCCTGTAGACTGGAGCCTCTTTACATCAAACATGTGCCTGAGAGTGAGCGGCTCCTGTGAATGCTGCACATGTAGCACCGCACTGCCCAGAACGCTCCGTGCCAGACATCTAGTTCATATGTCAAAACCTTCTGCTAATCAGCACTTCTGGATTTTTTATAGCCTACCGTTGATGGGTACTGCTTTTGCAATACAAGTGTGCAAATTCAAAGGAGCAGAGAGGCAGATCGCATAGGGGTCAGACAGAGGCCATGTTGGTGGCTTTTCAAATTGCACGCTCACAACTATAACTCAAGGTTGGAGGCAGTGGAACGACTAGGCATTGCTATTGATTTATCGACTGTCCATTTAGAGAGGAGTATCAGCCGACAGCTGAGCCGAGTAGCTGCTCTTATCAAGTGGAAACTCGTGAAATAGGGTTGTTCAAAGTACAGACGGTTGTTATCACCTTCACCTAGCCCTTAGTTCTTCAAACATGTCGAGTCCAGGTCATGACCCACTGTCCTGCATAGTGTAATAGGGAGCCTTATGATCAGGGGATTATCATAAGGCCGTGTGTGGGAGAGAAACTCCCTCTGGATGGAACACACAGATTTTAGCCTTTGCAGACCATTTACATGTAGGCCTGTCGCGATAAGTAATGAATTGACTTATCGTACGATAAATAAAAATGAACTCGATAACTTTTCTGACCTCGATAAATTGCCGTTTATATGCGTGTTTGTTTACATAAGAATGTGAGCAGCATTTTAGCCATGTGCGCTGTGGCTGCCGGCCAGGCGCACTGTGAGGGGCGGGGCTCACACACAGCCAGGTCAGGACACTCCGCGTGCAGCAGTGTAGCAGCCAAATGAATAATATAGAGACAAGCAGGAGACAACGTGTGACTTACTCGAGGGGAATTTGAAGTTAAATGGAATTGTGGTGTGGGTATATTTTGGATTCAAGCTAAATCAACGTGGCGAACCTACGGGCTTGAATGAGCCGGGCGGTGTGTCGCATTTGTTTTAAAAAGGTGAGCCCCCACCTTCCCGACAGTTTACAATCAAAGATGCATTTGCAAACATGTTGGTGTTCCTTGCTCGAAATCTTTGAAATACAGATTTGGATATGATATTTATTTATTTATATATATATTTATATATATATTGATTTATTGATTGATAGATGGATAGAGTTTATTTAATTTATTGTTTTGGTTGTGTGTGATTTTAATAAAAATGTTATAATTTAATGTATTTGTTTTATTTATTATATATCATTTATATATTTGAATATTATTTCACATTTCATTTGCAATGTTGAATGTTCAATACAAAGTTCTGTTTGAAAGGATGCACTTGAATTATTATTATATATTATCATTATGTCCGTGGTCTAAAATGGTCTCACAACGGTGCCGACAATATTATCGTTTATCGCAATAATTTCGGGGAAAATGTATCGTCCAACCAAATTAATTATTGTGACAGGCCTATTTAAATGCACAAAAACCTATACAACACACCAATGGGAAAACCCAAAAAGCATTATAGGGCCTCTTTAACACACATTAGTAGCACATGTCTCATTAGCTAATCTAATCCTTATCCTAGTTTCAACTAATTTCTTTATCCTTTCCTAAACCTGATCTTGATTCAGATACTCTTTGTATAAATACAAATTCTGAAAATTAGACAATTTTTTATCTTGTTAAAGTCATTTACGCAGCCAAATCAGATAAAGGTCCCACTTTAGCAGCCACATGAAATCCTTTTCTGCAACCTTTATTAGTGGTACATGATTCATACATGCATCCCCTGCAGCTAGAATTACCACAACGAGTCCCTGACAACTTTACATAAATACGCTACCAGGCCTAGATGTATCCTCTCCTCCACATGTGTCTTTGTTCTTCCCCTCATTACTGTATGCCGCAGATTGACGATCTCCCAAGATATGCCCATGTTAAACTAAATAGCCTCGGCCTCATTCAGCAGGAGAATACGGCGTAACATGAAGCCTTTTCCTCCATCTTAACACTTTCATCTGAAATGTAATTAGCGCAGCAGCAAGCAGTTTAGCGATCCGCCCCGCTCTCAGCCCCAACCAAGGTACCTGTAGGCAGGCCCTAATCCTCAGAGCCTAATGGGATTATCTCCAGAGGGAAGGGAACCCATGTGACATTCACAATCCCAAACTCTCCTCCTCCTCCTCCTCCTCGCTATCCATCTCTCCTTCTCTCTCTAAGCGCCATTCCACTATGTGTCTAATAGGATTAGACCAAAATTGTCCATTTCTTAAAAAATCCCATCTGGTCCATTCAGTTTCATCATGCTGATGATGATGATAAAATGGAAATAATGAGCTTTGAATCATGACTTATTCAGTGAAGTACAGGGATTATCGATGGGAAAGACCTCAGTCTAAATTGGGTCTAATTAGCATTTTGTTTCAATAGAGTGTTTGCCAATCATCAGAATCTTCTCTGAAATATGTTTGATGATAAGAACAACATGAAGGAAAACACAGACACAGTCAAACGATGTGTTCCCCCGGAAAAGATTTTCACTAGTTGAAAATAATGGCACTCAGAAATCTTATTCATTCAGCCATTCATATCAGCTGTAAAAAAAACGGTCTTAGCTCACCCAGTTTCAGGCATGTGTGAGGACTCAAAGCAAAACATTTGAATTCAATGAAGAAAATGGGAGCATCGATCTTTTGCTGTAACAGAATGACACACATTTTTTCCCATTCCTTTATTAAACTTTTTGTGTAGTGGCTAACCTCGGCCAGCTGATTACGCCGTCATATCGGAGGTCTCTCTTTGTTTGTGGAAAATGGTAACTGGACTGAGCTCAAAGTTCTTTTACAATGACTTTTTATTCAGCATTCACCCATTCACACATGTTCATAAAGAGGCTGCTGCTTTCCAATTGGTTGACGACAGAGCCACAATGGCACCTATGCTAGTTGCCTATCTCACTGCTTTACTCCTAATTTACACTGATATACAAAAATACATCATAGTCAAAATATGAATATAAAAAAATATATATATATGTTAAATGAAAAAAGACTATTCATTAAATAAAAATATATATACAAAATAAAACATTATCTTTTGTTATTTATAATTCTAATGTCCTCACTTGATGAGTGAATGAGTATACAGAATCTATATATATAGATATATATATATATATTAGGGCCGGGACTCGATTAAAAAAATTAATCTAATTAATTACAGGCTTTGTAATTAATTAATCGCAATTAATCGCATTTTTAATCACATTTAAATATTTGACCTGAGAACAGTGAGAAGCAATTTTTTTCACATGGATTTTAGTATACCATTGAATAATGACTGAATACATAAGCTTAAGCAACTTGCTTAAGCTTATGTATTCAGTCATTATTCAATGGTATACTAAAATCCATGTGAAAAAAATTGCTTCTCACTGTTCTCAGGTCAAATATTTAAATGTGNAAGTTAGTCTCTCTGTGTTGGTGCGCTGGGCTAATGCTAATAATGCTAATCCGAGGCTAATAAAATGGCGGCTTGACAAAACTTTTTGGGAGTTTTATGGGGCGTGGTTTGCAATCCGCCCAGCCAATCAGAAATAGGAACCTATTTCTCCCACGAAAGTCCCTGCTCTCTAGCAGGGATGGAAAAGGGGGTAAAAAAGCTTCTGATTAACTCATTTTAGTTCCAGATTTTTTTGGTGTGAACGCGACATTTCGGAACTATATCAGAACTAAAGTGGGAAAAGTACTGCGGTGTGAAAGCGCCTGATTTAGTCTTAGTTGTAGTCTTTAGACATAAATTCATATTAGTTTTTGTCACATTGCATACATTTTCATCCTTATAGTTTTAATCTAGTTATAGTCGACACAATTCCTAATGCTATATTCAACTTTATTCTTTCATTTTAGGCAAAAACATTTCTCATATAATTTTTTCATATTTGTTATTACCTAGTATTTAGTCTTTGTTCTGTTTCAAATGTCCTTTTTAGTCATCTGAAGGAACAGAAGGAACTGTATGAGGTACAATGCTTACTCGTATCCAGGTTTTAGGACTCATTCCTTAGCGTTTAATGGCGTCGTGTCATCCTCGCGTCTTTGTTTCACCTGGTTGACACTTGCCTCAGCAGCAATGTAGAAAGTGGCAAATGTAGGCGTTGCTTTCAAGAATCAATCTGCAAAATTGAAAATCATGTTTGTGATAAATATCTCATCGTTGTATAATATTTTTTTTATATATCAATATTATAAATGACCCTTACCCTTGCATCATCACTACTCAGAATGTAATCTTCAAACTTTGTGACAATGAACAAATTAAGGGGTCCTTTCTGGGCAAGTTGGTTATATATTGGGTAAATGATTGGAGAGTCTCAGCCCTGAGGGAGGCAGTCCTCAGTCACAGTGGTGGTCCCGTCCCTTTGTCTCCGCCACACGTCGCTGCAGCTTCAGTAATGCTGTTGTTGCTTCTGGAGAGCAGAATATTCCACCAGCTGCCTTTCAAAGCTTCATTTGCCTGCGGTGCAAGGTGAGGGGCTGCATTACAATACTGGCATTAGCATATCAACTCGCCCTCTGCTATTGGAGGGCTGGAACACTAACCTCATAGAACAAAGGGCTATTTGCCAATTCTGGAATTAATTTCATCCGGTTTACCCCACCTCACGTAGAAGGAGCGGCCAGATTGGATTTGTATTCAAATGGAAGCCAGTGTCCGTCTGATTCGGCGCAGGAGGCCAAAATCATGGGAGTGACATAATTGCCCTCAGTCCTTCCTCTGTTTGTCTGAGGCGGCCTCCATGCAGGCACCCACCGGCCGGGGGGAGTGTGCATCACTGTGTGTCTGCTTGTGAGCACACAGTTAATGAAATCGGAATAACCGCTACTGAATCTGAATAATGTGAATAATATCACTTCCACCCACCTGCCTTGCTGCTTCTATTCTCAAGCGCCTGGCTGTTATAATAATAATACTAATAATATAGCTTTACACGTAAAGCACTTTTCAGACACCAGGTGCAGCTCAAAGTGCTATAACAACATGGCACACGCCACAAATTAACTCACTCCAGGTCACACGGTAACACCTTTTTGCAAACATGCATGTAATGAACATAATACATTATACTATATAATATAGTAATAATAAGTAAAAACCTATCAAATAAGTCAATAAATAATAGAAATTAAAAGACCATTTAAAAGTGGTGTTTCGCTCATAAAAAGCTCATCTAAAAATATGTGTCTTTAAAAATGTCCACTGCGTCGGCCTCTTGGATATTTCCTGGTAGGGTTTCGAACCAAATGTTTTAAGTATCAATGTCGTCTTTTTTAGCAGAGTTAAAGGAGGTGCGGCCGAGGAGAGAAAGGGAGCTGTGGAGGGGCGAGCGGGGGCTCTTCGTCCAGATGTGGCCTACAACCTGTTGCACACACTGTTCTATGGCCTCCTGGCTTTCAGCACTATGAGGTGAGCCCACGGTCATGTCATTAGAGGATCATGTACACACACTTATGTGAATCAACACACTTTCCCATGTAGGTACTCTGGGTTTTTTCCCAGGCGGGGACTCTTGAAATGTGCTTTTCCTCTTCACGGCTTAGATTCTTGATTGCGCACACTTGTGAGCACATGCTGGAATCCTGGAAAGTGCCTCTTACATGCTTTTCACAGAGCGTCTGAGTGAGCCACTAGAGCCTTGATCAACCCTCTACACCATCACATGCAACACCCTGAGTCTCTCAGAGAGTGACACCACTCACTGCAGGAGCAGGGAGAGAGGACACAGTTGCACATTCCAATCATAATGTTGCGTCTCTACTATGTTATTATCTATAGTTGCTCCTCATAGTGGCATTATAAAGGGGAAAACTTTGGAAGCTAACTGCTACTTTAGCTTCAGTTCAGGTACCTGTTAGCTGTTAGCCCAACACATCGTCTAAAATGGCCCAAACTGGAACAGAGGCTCCAACAGGCTGGATAAGAGGAATGATGAGTCAGCATTTATTGAGGGTGAAAAACAATCAATAAAATATTTGTATCAAAACATAAATCGAAACAAGCACCACCAATTGTCCTTGAGCATACAGCAATGTTTTTAAAGCTGAATGGTCCATTTGTGACATATCCAGAAGAAATATCACATGTGTACAAACTCAAGCACACACAGAGGAGATTATAATTTACTAAACACAATGTCACACAATGTTGCTTTTGTGTTTTTGAAAAGCTAGAAACAGAAACCTCCCTCTGACTGTTTACCACGGTTCCATGCACAAAACGTCTGCATGAGGACACATCCAAAGCTTGTAGAGTCTGCAGTGATCACACTATGGCTGTTTCGGGGACAACTTTAGCAAACACTTAACTATGGTCACACAACCTGAACTGTACTTAAAGCACCCTGATGAGATCATTTGTCAATATCGACACAGTTTGCAATATTGAAAGATGCAGTTACATGTAATCAAAATATATTCTCTATTTATTGAATTGCTCACCCTGTCATTATCTGCCATTAAGGGGCTCAATCATAACCAAAAGAGGCTGATTTATCCACAAAGGCCTCCTCCTGTTCAGAACAAACGAACCCTGTCATTAAAACGGGTAAACCCCTGATTACAACAGTGTTCTCCACTGCTGTTCGGCTGCCACTTAAGTTGGATCAGCTTGTTTCTTAATTTAATATCTACAAGTCTGATGTCAAAAATCCTTAATCCGGTTACAATATATAGTTAAACGAGCTGGGGCGTAATCTATTCGAAAACAAACAACATCATTTCAGGCGACCAAATTACATTTACTAGTGCCTTTATGAAATGATGAAATTCTCTGGATTTGTTATGAATCTTTGCTATATGTGCAGTCACATTTAGTGGGTAAATGTTAAATATTTGATTATATTCTGATGCAGAAAATAAAAATGACACATGGCATTGCCTGTCTGTCTTTCCACAATGGACCCCATTAGCCCGTTTTATGTTGTATTTCTCTCTTTTTGGCACCCACAAAAACTGTGGTCTATTGGTCTGGTTCAACTTGCGGCGTCATGCATCGGCAGGCTCCCTCTGTGGAACAGCAGCGCCGCTGAGGCTCCATTAGATGCCAGGCTCCGGCTGAGGGGTCAGAGCTGTCTCCAATGCTGGCACCAAAGCTTTACCATCCAACAGAAGCATCATTCTTGCCGTCCACTTTCATATCCAGCCACTCCTTCTTAATTCCCAGAATATCTCAGCTCTCTGAGCTGGCGGCTGTTACAGCTGCTGGGACATGCTGCCGCTTGACACATTTTCTCTTATTGGTCAGACCAGGACTATGACAGCCAGGCAATATCGACTGACCGGCCTCGACCTCTGCTACAGCTGCCTCCATGTTCCACTCACACTGAGCATTACAAAGAGAGACTGCACTGTGTTCTCTTGAACAGATATTAGTTTGTGTTTCTTTAAACATAATAATGTCCATGTTTCTGTTCATTTAAAAGAGTAATCTTCCCCTTGCTGTAGTGAAGTAAAAGTGTACTCTTTACATTTGTTGCAAATCTCAGTGGTTGATTGTTGAAGTTGACAGGTTAGGATAACTTCTACTCAGCTTGTTTTCCTGATGACGTAAGAATCTGACATTAAAGTGGTTATTACTGGGAGCAGAGCTATCCACAGATATCTCCCCCTCTCCAAAACAGACCCGATGATTTAAACTAGTACAAAATGTGAATACAAATATCTGCAAATTAACAACCTCTCTTTCTTCATTTAAGTCAAAAGTAATTTTGTGTCCAAATGATGACTGACACAGAAGTGTAGTACCACCACTTGGCCTCTAGGACAAAATGCTTCAACACCCTGCGCTCTTCCTGAGTAGCACCTCTTTGTAATTATTGTAAGGACCCGGACCCCCCCTTTAATATGTACTTCTAAAGTGTCACTCCTTCGAGAATCATCAGTACATTTCTCGGGTTGAGCCCAATCTAAGCAGCAATCACAGTCTGCCAATCTTTACATCCACAATGAATTATTATAAAATTATAATCATTTAACATTAGGCTCTTATAGGTCAAGAACATAATAGATTACTATTGGAGTCCTCACTTCTTTTCCCATATAATAAAAAACGAGCTAAGTACATGCATGTGGAAGAAAAGACAGTATCTTGTATTCACAGCAACATGGAGAAGCAAGCTTACCAAGGTTCACTTAATAGCTTCATTGGAATTAGGTTGTGGAGCCAGCAGCTAGCTGAGGTTCCTCTGTGCATGTTAATGTTTCATATTGTGTTCTCACCCTAATCCCAGTTTATATAGTGGGCAGGATTTAGAGATGTACTGTACGTTCAATATACATATATATATATATAGTTCCTACAATGCATTCCGCTTAGTCAGGAAATAAAGTGCTGATTGAATTCACACAAAGGGAGCGGAGTCTAAAAGCTTTTAATACAGCAGCAGCCAGGTAGCGCGGTTAGTGACAGATTTGATTTCAGCGCTTTCTCTAAAATGCTGATGAAGAGTGAAAGGCCAAAACGACAGCGAGCCATTTGTGTCAGTCAGGCAGCTCCTTTGCATTAAAGAAGTACTGAGATGTATTTCCCTCTCCTCCTCTCTCGTGGCTCCATCTCTGTACCTGTCTTCTCTTTCTCCCAGTCTTCACCCGGCTGTTCTCTCTTCTGCGTTTCATCTTTTGCTCATTTGTTTAGAACTGTATTTCCTGTGCAGTGGACCAGATGCTGTCTTTCAGAAACTAAATGGACGTTTTTTCACATTGGAACCATTTGACCAAGTGCGGCTACATTCAGACAATCTGTCTGTTTGGATTTGATTTTCTTTAAAGGCTTGGGAGAACATCTTAAAGAGTGGTCTGCATAGGCTAAAATCCCTGTGTTCCCTCCAGAGGGAGTTTCTCTCCCACACACACATACTGTACACACAACCCCCCACCCTGCCTGAAACGCATCCTACGTTTACTTCCTGAACATAGCAACAGCACAGGCAGTATGATCAAAATAAAGACCTTTTTAAACATTGAGGCATGTGAACATGTCACAGTAGAGACACTAAATACTGATATGAACCTGAAAATGAGCAGAAGATCTCCTCTTTAAGGTACATGCCTAAAAGCAAAATAACATTACATACAGTTGCAAGAAAAAGTATGTGAACCCTTTGGAACTAACTGGATTTCTGCATAAATTGGTCATAAAATGTGTTCTGATCTTCATCTAAGTCACAACAATAGACAAACACAGTCTGCTTAAGCTAAAACCACACAAACAATATGTTTTTATGTTTTTATTGAACACACCATGTAAACATTCACAGTGCAGGGTGGAAAAAGTATGTGAACCCTTGGATTTAATAACTGGTTGACCCTCCTTTGGCAGCAATAACCTCAACCAAACGTTTCATATAGTTGCATATCAGACCTGCACAACGGTCAGGAGGAATTATGGACCATTCCTCTTTACAAAACTGTTTCAGTTCAGCAATATTCTTGGGATGTCTGGTGTGAATCGCTCTCTTGAGGTCATGCCACAGCATCTCAATTGGGTTGAGGTCAGGACTCTGACTGGGCCACTCCAGAAGGCGTATTTTCTTCTGTTGAAGCCATTCTGTTGTTGATTTACTTCTGTGCTTTGGGTCATTGTCCTGTTGCATCAACCATCTTCTGTTGAGCTTCAATTGGTGGACAGATGGCCTTAAGTTCTCCAGCAAAATGTCTTGATAAACTTGAGAATTCATTTTTCCGTCGATGATAGCAATCTGTCTAGGCCCTGAGGCAGCAAAGCAGCCCCAAACCATGATGCTCCCTCCACCATACTTCACAGTTGGGATGAGGTTTTGATGTTGGTGTGCTGTGCCTTTTTTTCTCCACACATAGCCTTGTGTGTTCCTTCCAAACAACTCAACTTTGGTTTCATCTGTCCACAGAATAATTTGCCAGTAGTGCTGTGGAACATCCAGGTGCTCTTTTAAAAACTTCAAACGTGCAGCAATGTTTTTTCTGGACAGCAGTGGCTTCCTCCATTTTATGACCAACTTATGCAGAAATCCAGGTAATTCCAAAGGGTTCACATACTTTTTATTGCAACTGTATGCCTGGAATACACTTCAATATTCTACACCTAAAGAAGCAAGTTGGAGATAAGTTAACACGTTAACTGCAGGGGCTGGGAGCCGAACCTCTGACCCTCTGATTGGTGTACGTGTATTTATCCCCTGAGCGACAGCCTGCCTTATAAGGGAGAATAAAACCCACAGAATCACATGCCTTTACTACTTTAAGAACAGAAGTGAGCTGTGAAAAAGTGGAAACTTAACCAGCCAACACCTGGATATTGTCTGTCTCCCACTCTCTCCCCAGGATGAAGTACATATGGACGGGCCATATGTGTGCGGTGGCAGCCTATGGTGTGTGTGGGAAGGAGCTGTGGACGCTGCTGCTCAGCACCCTCAGGTGCAACAGTAAAGTCCTGGTACGAGATTTAAAGTACTGCTCACTATCAGCTCTGAACACGTGTTTGTTTATTTTCCTTTTTTGATCTGAAAAACCTGATATTAGTCTGGACTTGAGATCTTTCATTACACACGTCTTCTGGAGAAGCTCCACTAATCGATATGTTTCTATTAGCAAAGGGTCAACTGCTTGTGTGTATGTCAGAGCAGTCAGCTCTAAGGAACTCAAAGCCTCTTAGCTCTTTGGTTTGGGTCAAAATGCTCATACACGAGACAAACACACATATCATGTAATTAACTGATTTGAACTTTTAAAATACATGTAGCAATACATATATATTTATTGTTTATGAATAGTATCTCCATATTTTTAGGCAAGGCTGTAAAATACAATAAATATCTCCAAATTTAAATGTTCTGTCTAAAATAATAGAAAAGTCTTACTTAACCGTTTAATGTGTATGATCATAGCAGCAAGAGCATTCAAGTAAACCAGCTGAGTAATGTGAGCTAGTCTACTGTCAGATTACTGTCACATCAAAACAAAAACAGGTATGAGTATCAGGATTACATTGTTACTGAAATAAAAGGATCAGATGTTGTCTCTTCTCTGTCAGCTGTATTGTTCTGTATACGCCTACTGCCTGAATATGCTTTATGGTTTTCACTTTCTTGGCTTCATTTTTATTTATTTTTCTATTCAGCAGGCGTTGCGTTCATAAAATAGTGTGTGTAGGAGCATTTCCTGTCAGCTCAGATTTGATTTCTGCTTTTTAAACTGTAGTCTGTGCTGATGTGTTTCAGTGTTGGTGTTTGGGCTGCTGCCTGAATATGCTGAAGGAAAGACAGGTTTTCCTATCAATAACATCTCTGAGCAGTGAGATCTTAAATATCTGTCCTCTTTTCTAAGGTCACATTGTTCTGTTCTCTTCCACAATACACTTAAGTAAAAAACATCTCATTGATATTTATTTTATTTCGTATTACTTTTATGCTTTCACACACCTATTACTTTTCTTTGTACAGGTAACAGGTCATTGTAACCCTCCCAACCCTTACCTTTACTCTTCTTCCTGCATTTCTCTGGTGATAACAATAGCAGGGAGGCCACTAGGTGTCAGTGTGGTCCCAACATCAGTGCAGCGTTAGATCAGTTAAGAAATGGAATCTTGTGAGCAGTGCTGCTGTGTGTGTCGGTTATCTCTGTTATCTCCCTCTGCGCTGGTCTTCATTTTGAGCTATATCTCTGTCTGACTTTCCCCATTAAATTCTTTCATTTCATTACAGCCGTTTTCTGTCTCTCACGTTGCAGTTAAGGCTTGTCAGATATGCAGTCCCGCTGCTGGTGATCGCTTGCCTGTATTACAAGGTATGCCATTTACTCGCTGGTTCACGTTCATCCCTGTGTAGTTGGTGTTATTACCGGGAAAAAAACCATACGAGCAAAGTCGAAATGAGCAATTGATAATCTGAAATTATTGCTTTCATATTATTTATTTTTCAGTGGTAAGAGTCCAAATGGCTGTTATATTCTTTACATTATTCAAATGTATTTTAGTATTGTTTTTTTACAGCCTTAATGGATGCTAACTGTGGCTTTTCCATCACTTGTCTCTGTTTGTTTCTCTCTAGTTCTGGCCTAAACTGATGGAGGAGTTATCCGAGCTGAGGGAGTTTTATGATCCAGACACTGTGGAGCTCATGACCTGGATTAGGTACACACACACAAACACACACATGCAGACACGCACAAATCCGGAGCATGCAACCAATAGAAGCAAATCTGATTATCTTGTTTCAGCGGATCATGTTTCACTTTGTCTGATGTCCTTGATTAGTCAACGTGTGTGTGTGTGTGAGCGCGTGGATGTGTGTGTGTGTGTACATGTGTATCGCTTGTTTGCGGGGGAGTCTGGCCGGTGAGTGAGTGATGAGAGCCGATGGGCCCCCATGAATAAGACTGGGGGGTGCTGGAGAGGACCCAGCTGTTGGCAGAGCTGCACCCACCTCGGGGTCTCCTTGCTCTGTACTGTAGCTGTGTGTGTGTGTGTGTGTGTGTGTGTGTGTGTGTGTGTGTGTGTGTGTGTGTGTGTGTGTGTGTGCGTGCACATCTGTGTGTGGATGTGTAGCTCAGCAGTCTAAATTGAATAGCATGTAGCTATGGAACAAAAGTCTGGACAAGGACACGTCACATCCCGCGCTGCCCACACTAATATTGGCAGTCACTTATCTCTGAACAGACTTTATGGAAGTTGATCTTTCTCAATAGTATTTGTGTGAACAGACGTGTGTACATTTGTAATTGGGAAATGTAAAACGCCTACCTCAATGCAAAAAAAAGTATATTTTTGTCCCATTTTTACACATTTTTTACTCAAAAGTATGAAAAGCATGTGTGGACAACAATTTACAACTCACAATCGGGGATTTGTGATCCAGTTTTTGATTATTTTTGGATTAAAAAGGCATTCGTTGATATTAATTCTACATTCGTGGATTTGCATTTTACACAGTTTGAGACAAAGTTCCCGCCGGCCTGAATTCAAATCCCCTTGTATCATGCTACTTTCTGGAGAGCACTTGAATGCTGATGACGTGAGAGCATGCACTTTTGTTCCTACTAACCTGAACGAATAAAAGTCCGTTTTAAAAAGTCATTGTAAACATTGGTTTAAAATCGGTATTAAGAAGATGTTATTGACAGAGACACATTATAAAGACATTTTGACAAATGAATTGCATTTAAGAGTAGCCAGTCAGTGTAATTACGTTTTGGCGTAATTTGTTAAAAAAAGCTGCCTTAAGCACTTTTTAAAGATAGACACAGGTTAAGCCTTTTTTATTAGGTGATAAAGTCCTGGTTCAGTGTCAACGACAAATGTAATCCAGCCTGTCAGAACACTCTCCAAGCCACAAAAGTTCACCAAAGTGTTTGTGCTCATACCAAAGTTCTTGACACGCCTCAGAAAGTTTCTGTTGTGCCTTCTGCAGTTGTTCTCATCGCAGTTTGTTGTTAGATCTTCAGCTTCTCTCCTGTCAGGGTTCCAGCACATCGTAAAAAGTGTTGGGGCATCAAATGGATGGTTTTAATCTTTATTACAACTTCTTCAATCCATCTTTTGAACGTCCTAAAAAAATACGCTATATTGGAAGTTGCATTTTTGCAATTTGAGTACAAAAAGTAATCGGTAACATTTATCTGTTAGATAATTCACTTTATACCTCAAGCATTAATCCCACATGAAAATCACTGATATTTAATGTTGTATTAACTCTTCTCTCTTCTCGTGTTACATTTTTGTTCACATTTAAAGGAGATTATTCTAATGTTTCATTGGATAATCAACCTATATATCGTATATATATATATATTAGGGCCGGGACTTTAACGCGTTAATTAAGATTAATTAATTACACAAAAATGAACGCGTTAAAAAAATTAACGCATTTTAATTGCACTTATTTTTGCACCGCGGAACGTTTCTCACTGGATGAGTTTCAGGGGTACCGATTATACTGGAGCACCAACTAACGTTCATGACTTCAAACAACAACAAACCACAGTGAACAATAGTCAAACGTGAACGAAGAAGCTGATGAGACCGCTTTGGTTGGCCCCCCGTGGATGGGACATTTTGTTTTAAAAAACGGACGGATGGAAGCATCGATAAGAGCACGGTTGTTTGCAAATTATGCAAAAAGGAATTTGCATATCACCGCAGCACATCAAGCCTCAAGTATCACCTCAATGCAAAAGCTATAGCAGCTAGCGTGGAAGCTAGCGTGGACGTTAGCCCGACTCGGAGTACAAGGACCCACACCCAATTCGCGTTGATCAAACAGTGGCCTATGCAACAGAGAGATTTTATTTTTCATCAGGATATTGGAAGAATAGGAGGGATTGAGGTCAATCACTGGCACTTTTTTATTTTATTTTAAATGGTACACTTTATGTTGAACTATTTATTACGTTGTTGGTGCAACTGGCACTTTATGTTGAACTGTTTATTGTTTTGGCCAAGGTTATTGAGAGAGTTGGACTGAAATTGATTAGATTTTTTAAATCAACTGTTGGTAAATCAACAAAGTCTGTTATGGCCTCTGAAGCAACAGAGAGATGCTTTCTAATAGTCAGGGTTTCCAATGTTCTGAATGTACTTGAAAGTATTGTGTTTTACTTAAAAAACAAAGTGTTATAGTTTACAGAAGGTCTACCTACCTATAGGCTACCTGAATCTCTGAAATGTACTATATTCCTAAATATGCTATTGCTACACTTTATGGACAAAAATTGCA